GAATACTCCTCCAGAGATGTATGATCGAAAGAAAGGTAAAACTGGTCTTGGGATGCCAAAATAATCAGCTGAGAACCCTAAACCCTAGAAGCCCAAATGCCCTAGGATGACATGTCCTTCAGAAACCGAAAAGAAGTCGAAGAAAATTGAAACAATATTAATCTGAAATGCCTCGACCAGAATATCGCTGACATTAGGTCGGAGCTCAAATAACTCACATACTATTGTAACTATTCCATACTGTATATATTTTATTAAAGAGCAAAGGTTTCTAATTTCCACCTGTGCTCTTTTCATCTATTAACTCTCGGAGGGACTTTTTCAATTTATCTAGATCAAGTGCTTCCATCTTGTCTCTGTTAAGTTTTGGTGGTGACTTTGCAGTCTCATTTTCCACGTCACTATCAGGCGCAACTTTGACTCGCTTTTTGTGCAGATCCTTTTGGGATTTATCCGCATAATGTTACTTGCTATATTACAGCATTGATGATAATTCGATTACTCTGCGCTCGCTTGTTAATCCACAAGCTAACATACTGACGATAACTCGTCTGAGCTCCGTTTTAATCTCTGGATTAGCATCCTTACCTTGAATAGCCACTTCTCCTGCGAGCTTCTGGTATTCCTCAAGCAGTGCTCCCTTGGGATCTACCCAATCCTTTTGAGTATAGAGGAGATTTGTCTTGGTAAGTAAATCATCAAACGTTGCCTTATCATCCATAGAGAGTTTGTAGTATGCTCCTTTGTCAATCTTGCCATCGTAAGTCAAGGTCTTGACAATAGATGTGAGCTCCTTACTCAGGGTGGCTACTTTTCCTGCCATCTCTTTCGTGTTCTGAGCTTTACGTAACGATAGCTTTCCTTGATGTAGCTTTTGCAAATTGATCATGGCACCACCGATTCGACGATAGACTGCAAGAGCTCGCGGGTTGGGTCTCTTACCAGGGAGTCTAGGTAGGCCCTTTCCTTTATAGAGAACAAGACCAGTTCTACCTTTCTTTCGATCATACGTCTCTGGAGGAGTATTTACAAAGCTGTCAGATCGAACTCCACGTTTCAGAGCAGGAGACATACTTATATCCAGAT